TCAATCAATACATAAATAGATAAAAGTTTATAATTTTTATGAACTCTGAAGTAATTTGATCTCAACTCATTTATATAATGCTAAGGCCATATTCAGAAACAACTTTTTAAGTAGCTTTTAGCATTTTGATAAATGATATTTTTATAGTATTTGGTAACATATTATTTGAATCACCAGGTTAAGGCAGTGTTTAAAGTACTCAAGGTACTCAAAACAGTTAATAGTTAAACACTGCTAAAACAGTTAACGGCTACCAAAACAACTAATTTTACCGAACACAGCAGAAAAACTAAACAGATGTACCTTTGTATAGTACCGAGGCCTCTGCTACCCATAACAAGACAATCAAGCTTCAGATCATCAACTGCCTGACATAATCTGTCTCTTGCATCTCCCCAATATAATTTTGCCAATACAATCACCTGTTTCTGCCTGGAGGCTGTATCTAGTAGATCCAAAACCTCAGGATCAAGATTGATCTCATACTTTTGTGCCACTTGTTCATCTCTAAACTCCTCCAATGGAATCAGAGCTACAAAGCAGGAACCCAGATTAAATTAAAGTTTCAAACTTTCACTATGATTATATTAACCTTGAGAGATGAATATTAGGACTTACGTGCACCAGAATTATACCAGAGAAGGTTGCGAGACTCATCTCCTTGAGAAGGCTTGACATGGATGACAAACAGAGTGTCACCTTCGTCTATAAGATTAGAAATTGCCCATTTGAGAGCTAATTTGCTTCCTTTGGAAAAATCCAGGGCTATGGCTATGTTCCTGTTCTTTCCCATCGTTTTTTTTTTTTTTCCTTGAAATTCAAGAATCCTCTAAGCAAGATCAATAGCAAAAGAAGAGAAGAGACCAACAAAGGGAGAAGATAACTAACTACAAATCATGGGTGCTTGTTGACTTTTAGGTGCAATTTTCCTTCTTTTTGTTATTTATTAATTATTTGGAAAATTAGAAAGTATTATCTAGTCATTTCCTCAGTCTATTGTAACTTGCTTTGCTTTTCTGTGTCATGTCTCGTCATTGGCAAAAAATGAAAATCAGATTAGAGTTCTCGATAAGTTTGGAAATGGATGGCTAGAACTTCATCCCTGCATTGACCCTTTTTTTTTCTTGCTTGTGTTACAGAATTGAATTTCCAGTTATAGATAGAAAATAATTAACAATGAGAACTTAATTTAATAATTTGGAATTCCAAGCAGAGAAGCTCTTCCATGCAAGTTGTATGAAAAACTAAGTCTTCAGCAACATAACTTGATAGGTCTCCTGTCACCCATTAACTTTTTTTTTTTTTTGACTTTTTTTTGAATATATATGTTAGAAGGATAATCTTTACAAAGCATAACCTAGCAATAAATGCATATATAACATGTGGCAATATATTTAGGTTTGAATCTCTTCTCCCTCAATCATTAAAAAAAAAAAAAATAATCTTTCTTTTAAGGAAAGGATAAATCCATTCATCATCTCTTCCAAGCCTCGCATACACATTTCACCTACCAATCATCTCAACTAGTCCCACCACCTGTCTACTTGACTGCTTCATAATCTCCTGTTTTATTATTTGTAAGACTAATGTTTTATTCTACACAAAGAACTCAAGAGAGTATCAGACTTGTTTAAACTCCATCTATGGATTTACCTGATGATTAAAATAATAAAAAATATGTTTTTTTTAAAATAAAAATATTTTTAACCATTCATTTAAAAAAAAAAAAGGATAAAATGGAAATAACTTTTAAAATTTGTCTTTTCTGATTAGTTAAAGTCACTAAATCTAGATAACTCTAATCCTTTAAGACAAGAAAGGATCATGAGCAATTAATGGCCCATTATAATTTTTAATATTATATATGGCCACTTGTGATTCTTAGTCAAAGGTGAAAAACTGATTTGTTTAGACGTGATCGATTGCTCATGAACCAAATTAATAAAAATAAAATTTTTTATTTAAATAAAAATATTTCTCTATATACACAAAAAAATGAAATAGTAATAATTGACAATATTTTTATTGGTGGGACCATAGACATGGTTCCCTTATCACCTAAGTTTTTAGGTTATGCATCAACCACCTGGTTCGCTATTATTTAGGTTATACGAATACATGACAAGAAATCACCTAATAGATATTAGGATTTCATTACCGAAGACCGCCTAAATCGACTCGGGATTTAATTACAGTCAAGGCTCTTCACCTCTCTTTGTAAATGTGTTTAGTGAGGATCAAACCAGCGAGATCTTCCCACATGTCCGGCCTGCGTTGTTAACTGAGCTATAACTCGTAGGTGGTGCTTCAAAACTTTGCTTGCAACATACATCAAAATAATATTTTGCACAAATTCAATGTCTAACCACAATTCTTCAGACAAGGATCATAGCATGCACGCAAAAAATATTTTTTTTATTATAGCAAGTCAATTAAAAATATATATAATTTTTTTATTTATATTTTTCCTAATGAATGGTAATGAATTATCCTCGTTGAAACAAAAAAACTGATTTTCGTTGGTTTGGTATATGACTAAGGCGCATACACCTAGTGTAGGTAAGTCTTTTTAGCATAGGAAGTTTATATACTTTAAAAAAATAAGTTAATGTTTTTATGTATTAAATTTGTGGATCCATTTTCATAGATTTTAATAATCTCAATAATAAAAATATGAAACATGAAATTATTATTATTTTCAAACTTTCTATCTAAAAATCAGATTATTATTTTACCATTTCTATCATATTCCTAGGAAACAAACGTTATTTTGAATAGTTGGCATCTTTTGTTAATACATATAGCAATAAAATAATTACATACACACGCTTACACAGGAAATGCAGAATCACGACTAATTATTTATTAATTGTGTTCTTAAGTCTTTTGCATTTTTTTGTTTGCTGGGAAGGGCAAATAGAATTTCTGATGAATGAATATGCTTACATCTATTTTGATTTTGATTTTAATTAATTAATTAATTAATTATATTCAAACTTTCTTACCTTTAAAGCCATAAAGAAATCCAAACTATTCCAACTCAATTCACATGCTAAAAACATTTTTGACATTTACTCATATATTCATCTTCCTCACAAACAGGAATTAAGTTTCCACTGTCTTAGATAGAATATGAAATGTGTTTTTATTAGCAAATGTAACAAAAACATTTTTTTAATTAAATTTCTATTCAATCTTCATCTTCAACCAAACCTACATTTTGGTACCTAACACACGCTGCCTACTTAGCAATAAGAATGGACGTTAGACACTTACCTAATCTATAATTAAAAACAAACAAATTAGTTAACAAATATTGCCTATTTAAAAAAAAAAAAAGAAACAAAGAAAGAACATGCATACTAAGCTAAACAACAAAAAGTCGGATAACTGTATCTACGGATTGTGGCCCAATTGGTAACGTAGACTGGACATGTGAGATGGCTCTTGAATTTGATTTCCGTTAAACACACCTGTAGAGAGGAACAAAAAATCTTAGCTATAACTAAGTCCCGAACTGAATTAGGAGATTCTTGATAATAGGGTCCGGATATTAGTAATTTCAAAAAAAAAAAAAAAACAAAAAAGTTAGACAACTTCTACTATAGTTTCCACCATTTGTCTTCTACATAGTCTTATTGTTGGCAAAAATGACAAAAATAGACTTAAACATTTGTACCTTGCTAACCTAAACAAATATAAAATTACTAAAATAAATAAATAAATAATACATGTTTACCTAATGAGAAGTTGTGCAAAACCAACTCTACAACAACCTTAACCGTTTGTAAGTACGTGTCAAATGGAATAATCTTGTAGGCTAAAATAGCCAACAATAGCCACAAAAATAATTTCTTATAATCTATATATCAAATGGAATAATTTTGTACCCTAAACTATATATGTTGCAATTGGAATAATATTGTAATTCTGTGAGCATCCGCGTGCATGTTTTATATTTACTTTATTTAAAAATCTAATTTAGGGGGTCTTTTTTAGGAAATTTTGAATTGTTTCTTCATTTTTTATTTAAATAATAAAAATATGACTTTCTATTTAGTATTTTATTTTTTTATTTCATGATTTTAATACTTAAATATTTTAATTTCATTATTTCTGGATATTTTAAAAGTTCAAAAACTAATAGTTTTTATATTACTTTGTCTCATTTTAGGTGTCATTTTGAAAATTTTTTATTGCCCCACTTATTTGTGATTTTAGAAATTTAAGAAATAATTAACAGCTTATTTCGCAAGTGTACGAATCGCTACAAGTAATATAAGATGAGTAAGATATCATTCCCACGAGAATTGTAATCCAAGTACCAAAATTATGTTATTTGAAAATTTTTTATTGCCCCAACTTATGATGATTTTAGAAATTTAAAGAAATAATTAACAGGCTTATTTCGCCGCTTATTTCGCAAGTGTACGAATCGCTACAAGTAATATAAGATGAGTAAGATATCATTCCCACGAGAATTGTAATCCAAGTACCAAAATTATGTTATCTTGTTATTATTTAAACGATAAATGAGATAATTGTTTGATTAATGTAAAATAAATAAGAGTCAAGTAAACAAATATTGATTAAAAGAAATCAAGGAAGTGAAACTACTAGGGGTTTTAATTTCACTTAATCCTATCCAATTTATTTCATTAGTTCATCAATCAATTTAATTATTCAAGTAGGGGAAACAACTCTGAATTCACTAACAAGTTCTAACAAGGTTCTCCCGAGTATCGATTACTAGCTATTGTTAATTCCATTTAGATGTGACGTTATCTTCCAATAGGTGCATTCAAATATGAATTAAGAATCATTACGTTATGTAGTCTGTATTAATTTACAATTTAAGGTTGATAGAATCATAAAAACCCCCGATGAGGTCAAACCATTATAGTTTGCCGCATTCAAGGTTACTTATTCTTCATGTGTTTTATTAACTTTTTGCGTTATCAAGATCCGATTTCTTCCGAAGTGATTTAATTGAGAGCATGTAAGTTTCATTAATTAATGCATAACTTGAAATAAAGAAAATAAATTTCTTAATTGCATTAAATTGGAGAAAGAGATTAAGCTACATGCAAAAACCGCCTAGTATAAGAATTTAGTGTACACATATTTACTTAAACAAAACCATAATACTTGAGTTAGAATAAATATTCCATTAGTCAATAAGAATATGAAAGAAATAAACAAGATAGAGAGTTTAGAAATAGAGAATAGTAATGAGAGTTGCTTGGATGGGCTTCCTTGAAAACTTTCGCCACACCTCTTGAACTTAACTTCTAAAAATAAAATTATAGTACAACGCTATGAATGAGACGATGGGAGAAGAGATGGCTAGGAGTATGTCAATCCTTTTTACAATGATCCTTCCTCTCTTTATATAGAGCTTCTTGGGAGAAAAACTGTCTACATTGTTGTAGAAATAAATTCACCTTTGTGTTATGGAATAAAGTTCTCAATCAAGCCTTTGAATTTCTTTCCAATCATGTCTGATCCGATATGCATAAATTAAGGCTTTGATTTGTATGTGAAGGAAAGTTGGTCCAGAGATTAGGCTCCATAAATTGGTGGAAGTTGGTTGGCAACTTTGACTAAGTTAGGATTCCTTGGCTTGCACGGGCGTGCCACGTGTAGCGACGGGGCTGGTGGCGTGCACGCCTCATGGAAGTCTTTATGCAATAACAGTACGGGCGGTGCTATTAGCACGGACACTGTAGCTCCGGGCGTTGCTACCCTGTTAGCCACGGGCGTGCTACTGTTAGCCACGGGTCTTTGCTTACTGTTAGCACGGAGCCGTGCTTAATGAATTTTTACCTGTATTTTTGTCCTTTTCTTGCCAAAACCCTGTTATATTTTCCCTCAGAAATAGCACGGGCGTGCTACTGTAGCACGGGCGTGCTACTGTAGCACGGGCGTGCTTAATGAATTTTTACCTTATTTTTGTCCTTTTCTTGCAAAACCCTATATTTTTCCTCAGAATTAAGTGAGTTGTGTTTCAACGAAGTTTTTAAATAAAAATATATCAATATTACATAAAGACTAATTTAAATAAATTAAAAGCAATAGAAATTTTAATCAAAATTACAATAAAAATACTATAAAAATAACACTTATCAATAATTAATTCTTTTTTTGGGAGAGCTATTATGAAAATTTTCTTATATAATAGCCACGTCTTCAATCGTTGAATTACAAATTTATATAGGGATAAATGCAGTAATTATTAGATATGTATAATTTCAAGTCCAACAGCTCATAAGATTGTTTTATATAAAAATGTTCTTACAATACCAATCTTTTCCTTTTTTTTTCTTTCAATTTTATTGTTGTCTTTTAGAGCGTAACCTTTAATTTCACCGTCAACTTTTCAAATAGTTACAATTTAACTCTAAATCGACCTTTGTGCCTTGAACACCCTGAACTTATCAACCTAGTTGTAATTACATCCTAATTTGAATTAATATCTCACTCATTATTTTTGCATCTTCAAATTAGTTCGATTTTAAAATCAAATACTCAATCTTGATTTTTTAATTTGTTATATGAATTCTTGGATTTGATTTTATTATTTATTGTTTAAATAATTGAGTATGAATTTTTTTTTTACATTATTTTAATGAAAATTTCAACTTTAATATATTTTTAAGGTATAATTACAACAAATCGATAAATTCACAGAGTTGAAATTTGTTTCTAGGGTGCAACTGTACCATAAAAGCAAATCAGGATGTAAATGCAACTAGGTTCATAAATTCAGGGTGCCCAGAATAAAAAAGTCGATTTAGAATGAAATTGCAACTACTCAAAAAGTTCGAAATGAAAATTGAATGTTAAGCCTGTCTTTTAGTGTCTTTTAGTATCTCGATTAAGTAAGTGTTAATTATTTTGATAATTGATAGAATGGATCGTTTAATCAAATTGTAATTATTTTTTCTAAATTAGAAATTTTTAATCATTTCCTTATTTTTATATAATTATCTCAAATGACAATTACAATGGGAACACATATAGTAATAGTTATTACTTGGAAAATTTAATATAATAAGCACATGCCATTGAATATCGAAAGTTAATTACATATTAGTGCTGATTCCGTCCCAAAAGAATAATCCATATTTTCTTTTTTAATGTTTTCAAAGAGCTTTTTTTTAAGAATCCTAAGAGTAGTTTCGTTTCTATTTTTAGAAATGGTTTTTTAACTTTCCCATAATATTCCTATATAAATGCCAATATGGAAGGATAAAAATTAAATTATTAACTGTGACTAATAAGATATTGGGATTGACAAATGATAAAAATAAAAATAAAAATTAATTTTCGAGAAATGCACTTTATTGGAAGGATAAAAATTTTATGTTTTATTGCTCGAAAAAACATTAATCATGTTAAACAAACAAACTTCGTACCTCAAACTATTTTAAAATTAATGGAATAATTTTTTTTCTTTATTTTTTTGGGTTCTTTGGACATTATATTACATTGTAAAAGATTTCATAGTTCATGCACTACTTACAAATGAAACAATTAAACTAAATATGTTCTGAATCTCCTTTCTAGTTGATTTAAAAATATAATAAAAGACTTACCATTTTAAAAAAATTATGACTATTTATTATTATTATGTCCCTCTTTTAAATGAGAAGACACATCCTTTCCAAAAAAAAAAAAAAAATGAAAAGACATATGTTTTCATTTATCCAAATATCTTTATTTGGTATAGGAATGTATTTTCCTTAAAAATATTTTTATGTACATTTACACTGTTTTGATTTTTAAAATGTTTTTTCATAATAATTAATAATAGCTAGAAATAAATAGAAATGTGATTTGTGGATATAGAAAAAAAAAAAAAATACTTAAGATCCAAACCCTAGGCCTAGCCCCCAACTAACCGTCAGTGCAACCTCCAACAAAAAGGAAGAACAGAGGAGTTTAATGTACCAAAAGTCCAACCACTGAATCCCAACAAAAACACAATTACCCACTTTATACCCACCACTGTCTACTCTGTTTTCTCCATTTATAAACCTTACAGATTGCTAGTTTTTGTTTAACCTTATCTCTCTCACTCTCACATGCTCTCTCTGTCTTTATGACCACATAAATAATCATTACTAGTTCCTTGTGAAGCTATAACACCAAATCATTGAATTCCAACTCCACTTTCTCTTTTCTTGATTCTTTACTGAGCAAACTCAATTTCTTTCAATCATGGCAGTTGACCTACAAAGTACAGATTCTTTATGGCTTTCTTCTGAATCCCAGTTTTTTACTGAAGAGAACAGTAGCAGTAACTGCAACAACAAACCCATTAACGAAACCTGCTTTTCTTCTTCTTCTTCTTCTTCTTCTTCTTGTTTTAGTTCCTCTGATTCTGGTTCTGCTTTGAGCTCACCAGTTGAGTCAGAACAGGGTTCCACCAAGTCAGAAAGTGACCAAGGCGACGATTACACTGCTGAGTTGACTCGCCAAATGGCTCACTACATGCTTCAAGATGATGAGAATAGACATGAAAATGAGGTAATTTTATTACCCTGTTCTTATGATGCTACATGTTTACATTTATGTCTCTGTGATTATCTATATTTCTGAGGTATAATATTGTGGCTTTACCCAGTCTAGGCAAGCTCTAATTGATTACCAAATAAAAGCTATTCAAGTAAGTACCCTTTTATTTATTTTTTGTATTAAATATAACCTTAATTTAATTACTTCATAATCTTTTGCGTTTATTTTGCAACTTAAACAAGAACAGATTATGAAACAAAAACAGGAGTCTTTCTGTCGGGGACAAAGAGCCAATGGGTATAATAATAAACAACAAGTTGGGAAATTTCATCAAAGTAAAGGGAGAGGTTTTAGTGGACAAAAGTTTTCATGGCCTAATTTGCCACAGAAACAAAGAACTGGTTCTGATATGACAGCAGTTTTTCTTGGTGATCATTCTGGTGTAAAAACTGGATCTTGTGGTACTGGAGTATTCTTGCCAAGAGGAATTGACAACACTTGTGAGCCGCGCAAGAAATCAGGTAAATCGTTAAAGAAAAAAGGTTTTTCTTTCTGGCTAACTATAAGTTGGCCACTTTTGTTGATTTTTTAACTATTTGTATTAGTACTAAACTACTAATTTCACAGAGCAGTAATGGAGTAATTAGCTTATAGATTGGTGCATATCCTTATCAATATTCTAATAGAGTAGCTTTGAATTTTATGTTTGTTTGATTTTGATTTCTGTGGAATCCAACGTGGTCACATATGTAAGATTCCTTTGCTAATTTTTCAACTTTGGGACGTGGGCAAATTAAGTTTGATTAGTATGATTGGAATCTTCTTCCCCCATGGATTGGAATGATGGTCCCCTTTCGCTGCCTTTTCTTTTTTTGGTCATCTGACAAATTGCTTTCAGCTGACAACTAAGACAAAAAAATTAATTCAACCGATTGGAGCCAACTAACGAGCCAACTAACTATGATTAAAACTTAATTGAGAACAACTTTTTTAATGGAAAAGTATATTTGAACTGATAAAATTTTGTTTGCAGGGTGTTCTCCTGTTCTTATACCAGCAAAAGTAGTTCAAGCCCTGAAACTTCAATTTGACAGAATGGGTGTTGAATCAAGATTTCATGGTTCTAAGTTCCCTGTCCAATATGGTAACTTATCATCCCAAGATTCCTTTTCACTTGAGGTCCACTATTAGTGTAAAGAAAGGGTTAAAGACTAAGAAATCTATTCTTTTAAAAAAGCTAACTTGCCAAGTAAACTCGATTAATCTGAAAATGACATTAGCTTTTTTAGTGCTTTATCATATTTTCTAATCTCATTTTCTCTTCTGAAACTATCTGCTAGATGGGTTAACACTTGATGCGAGCTATGGCCGGCAAATCCAGAAGAAGAGCCAAGCCTGGACGGAGCCGGCAATGAACCATCAAGAGATGGGTCTACCTCAAGAATGGACTTATTGACTGGAAAAGCAAATGGCAATAGAGCACATGACTCAACCCTCACTTCTAATATAATATAATTCAATCTCTCTCTCTCACACAGACACTCAACAGTCATATACAATGGTGTTTTGGATGCTTTTGCTATCGAAAAGGATTTGCAGACAAATAGAGAAGAGGGAAAGGACAGATCTTGGTAAAAAAATTCAAGAATTTAGGGAAACAACACTGAATAGGACGAAATTATCCTAAATGGGATATATATTTTTTCTTTTTATAGTTATTTTCTTTTTTAAGTTAGGATTTAGATTAGGAAGTGAAAATAATTGTCTTTGAAAGAGACAAAAACAGAGCTCTGTCCCATCTTCTGTGTGGTTGCTGGCTGATTATTATTTATTAATAATTAATAATAGACAAGTAGTGTTATGTAATTATGTATTTTATACAGTTCTTGTAATAATTCAGCTGTCAGCAATAGTTTCATATTGGAAGTCAATATCTCTATCTAATCTATTAAGTTGGAGCCACGGATTTATAGTTTTATAAACTGGAGTTTTGGATTATTTTATTAACTAATTTAATAATTGAGCGTTTGCATTATAATACAAGAAGAGGGCACAAATTCAAATTCGAACGACAATTGCCTATTACTAATTTCTTAAGTCAGGTAAATTAAGTTATGATCAGAGATGGTTGGTTCACTAAATTGATGGTTTAACGCGGTTTATGATCAGGTTATAATTGGCTCTTTTCATCTGGGCCTATTCTATATTTGGATTTTTTTTTTTTTTTTTTGGATTTTTTTTTTTTTTTGGTCTATTCTATTTTTTTTTTTTTTTTGGTCTATTCTCTCAGTGTAAGAATGGTCTTATACGCCAATCTAATTAAAAAAAAGTTTTTTTTAAATGTTACTTTATCTGTTTCAAAATATTAAAAAAATATATTTTTTTAAATATATTCATCTTTTCGAAAATATAAATCGTTTTGAGTATTAGTAAAATTAATTATTTTCTTAATTTTCATACAAAAATTTTAAATGATTCATATTTTGAAAAAGAGTGAGTACCATTTTTTTTTAATATATGATCAGAAATACCTTCGTTTAAACTGTGAAACTATAATGCAGTTTTATCTTTTTTTTTTTTTTGTTTCTTTTCTTTTTATCAGAACTAGCTGAAAACCATTAGAGTTTTACCAATTTCAAACCGGTTTAAGTATCAATAATATAGGAACAAAAATAAGAATGGAGCCTGTGAGTCTGTGAATTAGTGGATTTAATTTAGTTTATATTCGAAAATTTAAAACTAGTTTTGATCCAAGCTTTTTTTTTTTTCTTTTTTGAAATTCACATATTTTTCATTTCTGATAAAATTTACATCACAAGTCAATTGCTATATATATCCAAACAAGACGCACGTATCAAATCCACTAGTTACTTGCTAATAGAACTAGTGGTGTGCAATTTCAATTTTCTGTTGACAAAAAATGTAACAGAGGCAAGTGGGAGTGAAATGTAGTGATCTGGACATTAGAAAGCAAAATATTAGCCGCCACAACACTGACGGCTAAATTATGTAATTGGGACGTACTATATATCTAGACATGGCCACGGTTCCGGAACCGAACCGAAATGATTCGGTTCCGGTTCTGGTTCCGAACCGTCTGGTTCCGGTTCCGGTTCCGGTTCCGATCCGATTACAAAACCGATGGTTCCGATTGGTTTTCCGGCGAATCGCATAATTTTAAATTTTAAATTTTGATCGCATATATTTTAAATTTTAAATTTTTGGATACCGGTTTACAAAAAAAATTTTTATATGAAACATTAAAAAATTAAAAAATTTAACAGTTAAAAAAATTATAAAATATGATAAGTACTTCGGATTTAATATAAAAAATTTATTTGAACATAAAAATAAATTAATAAATACACCTTAAAAATTATTAAAAATTTTATGAAAAAGATCGCTTTTTAAAAAAAATTAATTTGAACATAAAAATAAAAAATAACACGCTAAAAATTAAAAAATCTTCATTAAATTTTATTTTTTTAGAGACTTGAATTGTTGAAGTTGTTTGAACATAATGATTTTTTGGAAAATATTCTGAATATTTTTCTTTTTTGGAAAATACCTTCAAAATTATAATTGGTTCAGTGTTCATATTTTTTATTTTATCATGATATTGAATTCATTATTCATAAGATGTTCAGTTTTTGTACGGGGTATAGATGATTCTTCCAATTTGTCCCTTGCCCTTACACGAATTTTGGAGTTTCTCCACTTGCCATTTATATGATAATAAAATATAATTTTGGATAAATTGAATAAAAAAAATAGAGAGAATAATTATTAATAAGAGATTTGAGGTAGAGGAGAATAAATGAATATATAGAAGTAGAGTGTAGTATATTGTTAAGAGAAGAGTAAGTAGAAGAGTGTAGTAATATTGTTAGAGAGAGTTAAGTAGAAGAGAGTTGAGATTTTTTTTGTAATGATTTTGTAAATAAAATGAGGTATTTATAATGAATCCAAACATTCATTTTTTCCAAAAATACCTTAAATTCCGTTATATAGGCCGTTTAATGGTGTTTAGAGGGGTATTAAGTCATTCAACACAAATAAAAAAAAAATCAACAAATCTGACAGTTACGCGCGGTTTCTACAGGCCGGAGATCCGGCTCTGTTCCGTAAATAAAATGAGGTATTTATAATAAATCCAAAAATTCATTTTTCCAAAAATACTCTTAAAATTAGCCGTTATATAGCCGTTTATGGCTGTTTAGAGGGGTAATTAAGTCATTTCACAACAAAAAAAAAAAAATCAAAAATCTGACAGTTACCGGCGGTTCTAACAGGCCGGAGAACCGGCTGTTCCAGTCCGGTTCCGACCGGTTCTCTGGAACCGCCGGTTCTGGTTCCTCATTTCCAGGAACCGGAACCGAACCTGATTTTTCCGGTTCCGGTTCCGATTCGTCCCGGTTCCGATTCTTACCGGTTCCGGTTATGGTTCCGGGCCGGTTTGAACCGACGGTTCCGGTTCCCGGAACCGTAATTTGGCCATGCCTATATATATCTATTGAGACGAGATCGAGATTTTATTCTTTATGTCCTGATATTTTGTAATGGGTGATGGGACCGAAAATTATGTAATCTTCGTACCAATTCCATCCATGCATACCTCCAGAAATTAAAAAGCCAATAAAATGAAAGATACATTGCATGGTCCATGTAAGAACACATCGGTGGGTTCGACACCACAATCTCACCCAAAACCTTAAGATTATAGTCTATGGTTATGATGCATGGAAACTTCATCCATGAGCGTTTTTGCATTTCCGAAGCATTTCTATTTGTCCGTTTTCATGTATAAAGTGTGATTTTTCCATGAAAAATTATATTTTGAATGTCCTTTCCCTATATCGTCCCCATATTTTCTCGTTTTTATGTCGGTGCAACATTGATCTATCGGTTATCTGCTTTCGCTCATTATATGTCACTTATTATCCAACTTCTCCTTTCACAAACTAGAGAGCTTAATAGATATATGACATGGGTCAGGTAAGAATACATAGAGCCGAGCTGTGCTCAAATCTGTCAGACTTGAAACTTAACGAGTCAAAAAATTTTAGGCTCAAGTTCAAATTTAAAATATTTTAAATTTCAGCTCGAATCGAAATTCATTGATCGAATAAGTTTAAAATATATATATATATATATAAAAGCTCGATAAGATTTAAGGAGCCTTCCAATTGAATATTATTAGCTTCAAGCTTAGCTCATTTGCTAACAAACCAGATTAAGTTCAAACCAAACTTTTCAAAATTTTTTCAAACCGAGCTCGAATAGCTCGCCAACCGGTTCAGCTCATTTACACTTCTTCGTAAGGTAATGGTTACGGGTCTTCACTTACTATATCTGTACATTTTCAATGCGTAATTTTACTCATACTCAGAATTTCAGCATAATAAATGAAGAAAAGTCTGAGCATCCTGAAAAATCTACCCTGCTTCAATCCCTACTCACATGGCTACGAGACTAAAAATCTGGACAGGGGTCCATTGCATCGATTCTTTTGTTGGCTGTTGGGACCAATGACTTCTATCACTGTTCGTATTTATTTGATTTGAGGTGAAAAGATACCAATGTAATGTGCAGATAAGCTAACAATATCTCAAGGTTCCAACTAGGAAACTTCATGTGAAGGACTCTGTCTTTTACCAGGAAGCTGGATCTGACTCTTCAGGTTCCGTTCTTTGTCGCAGAGAAATGAAATTTGTATGACTCTCCGTTGGAATCTATACAAGATATGGAAGAATCCTTATTTTATATAAAAAAAAATTTAGAATATCGTTTTATAATGATAAAGACAAGAAATACAACACAGATGCAGTTTCTATCAAGATGTAATTAAAAATTTTTTAATTTTTATAATTTTTCTAATTTTATCAATTGATATTTTATATTTTAATTTTCATAATAATTATAGTTTTCGTATGATTATTGCCTAAATTCAGTTGATGTGAGCTTTTAAATCTCATTATCATGCACTTAATTTAGCTAATCAAATGATTTAATTTTTTTTTTTTTTTACGAGTTGATAGATTTGTCGGTCAAGACTAACACGTCATATATAGAGCTCATATTATTATAATCTTAACGGCTATGTTACCTAAATTTAGACAATAATCATACAAAAATTACAATTATTATGAAAAAAACAATGTATTAATTAATAAAATTAAAAAAAAAACTAATTGAGATTTTTTTTTTTCTTTCTCATTTAGCATTTTCAATCAATGGAAGAGTAATCTATAGGAAAAAGAAATGGTTACGTGCAGGATTTACTGCAAACAAGCCCAACAATCAGAACTCTTTATTAGAAAGCTTTTGTAAGGCTCAAAGTTTTGCATCTTCCTCGTCCATGGCAAGATTGAATTTTTTTTTTCCTGTTTGAAAATTAAATCTAATAACATTTTATTTGTTTTCAAAAATTAATTTATATTTGAAATATTTTCTAAATGAAATTGTTTTCCTTAAAATATTTTGTAAACAATTCATTTTCGATTATTTGATTTTTTGAAAAATATTAAAACTTTTAATTTATGAGGCTATAAAAATATCTACAATTATAGAAATATTTGAAAATATATAAATGATGACAACCTATGGTAGCCATTAATTCATAAAATTAATGACATAAATATTAAATTAATTCATAAAATTCAATTTATTATGTTTTTATGCATCTTTTTTTCAAAAAAAAAAAAAAATCTAGATCCTCCCTGAACATACTCCTTGTTTTAAAGTATATTTATTTTGGCTTCTTGATATATAGAAAAAAAAAAACAGAAACAATAACACCTTCCATCATTGTATTAATGGATCATGTTAAAAATTGCTGACTCTAAATCAAAGGAAACTCTTGTCCTAATCTCACGCTTCTCCGTTTAATTAATTGCGTTTAGGAAAAAATTTGTCTAGACCGGATCCATGTCGCCTCATTTATAGACTAAATCAGAGCGTTCTAATTAACTTTTCCCCCCTAGTATATAGTTAGAAATACTATCGTTTCAATAAAAATTCTCTATTTCATTGGTTTAGTCTACAAATAGATTTATGGACTCGTCTACATAAGTTTTTTTTCCCTTGTGTCCGATATCTCTAATAATAAAAGACTAATTATGGCCAATCAGATGTCTTCTGGAATGGAAAGTCTCTGTTCGATCCTTAATCCAATGGTAATAAAAATTTAATTTGGGGCAAAATTTTGAGTTTCAATTTGAAAAATCAAGATAAATACAAATAAAAGAAACATAAATAACTACGAGATCCTAAATTACTATATAATTAATCAATATTTGATTTAACAACTCATAGGAGGCAGATCCGAATTTTTCTCATAAGGTGGTTTGACTTCTGTATTCCTGAAAGCCCTACTTGCAAAAATAAAGAACCCTAAACCATGTCCAGCCACAGCAGCAAGAAACACACCTCCATTAAACGACATGACGCCGAGCATCACCATATAAGCAATACCAATCCTGAATGTATGCATAAATGTTTGTGCAATACCAGCAATCAAATTATTAGAGCCTGCTTTGATTAATCTACTATGAGAAAGCCACTCGATCATCACTGCAAATACGAACATGGTTATTAAAGCTAATACGTACATGCCGGTATCTTTTCCCGGCCAGCCGGAGAAAAGTATCTCAGCATCCTTTCCCCAATAGAAGGTCATGTGCATCATCATTCGTTTCCGATGCATCATTCCGGTGCCATTCGCGGTTGCTGATGGTGGTGGAGCTGCCATACTTCTCATGTCATCCATTTTCCAATTTTTTTGGGAGTCCTGTTTTAGGTTTATGGGATACGTATAAGAAGATCTTTCCGAGATAAATTGAGAGATAGTTTGTACTTCGTACTAGCTAATGTATTGCAGTACAGAAAATACAAAATTTTTTAAATCTACTTAAGATCTTTTTAACCATTTATATTCGTCGGAAAAAACTTATATTTATGGTCGTGTTTATGTAGATAGAAAGAAAATCTTGTGAAACAAACTAAAAGAAAAGAAAATGAATATATTTACACTTTATATATTAATTTTACCATCTTATAAATGGAAAATGAAATTGGCGATTGTCGTTTCCAATTAATTACTACCACCAAATACAACTCAAAATCAAGGCAAAGAAACAGATTACCATAGGTTACTCTTGGTTATAATTTTTCTATTTAGGACTACATCTTCTTAATTACAAAAATTTTCATTTAACCAATTACTAGTTGGTCCAATAGGATGATGAGCTGAATCCTTTAAATAACGTCCAGGGTTCAAACTGTAGCGTTATGAATAGAAAAACTAGATTGGAAAGGTTTTCCTATAATGAACCTCTGCAGAATCCGAATTTAAATTTATCCGCTTTACCGAATTCTGGGTGATATACCAAAAAAAGAAAAAAATTCATTTAATTAATTTAACAAACTTGAGGAGAATTGCTCCTATATATCACATAATATTAATTTTGTCTCAATAAGTTGGATTTAAACCGGCAAAGCGGTGTAGGTTAAAACCTATTGATTCTTGATTATAAGGTATAATTTTATGCGTAATTTTGATACCATCTCACAAATTAAACTTGCAAAAGCTTATGCAGTTAAACAAGTTGACATCTTTTTATATTTCTGAGTCAAAATATATTAGCTGATTTTGCTTGTTGTAACCCTCAAACTCTCTTGCAAATGGCTTTCATATTAACATTAGCATTCCTTTTTTCTTTTTCTGTGTCCCACATGGAAAAGTTTTGGATATTTTGGAAGTTTATTAAAGGAGTATTGCGGAAGACTTTGGCACAATGGGGGGATGTGGGACAGGGAATTGAATGGGCTCCACTCAACCCTAAACCTCTTGGCTCAGAGTTCTAGAGTCAATTATACAGGGTCTTTCACCGGAGTTTCCCCTCTAAAAGAAACCCCGACGCCCACGCGCATTCATTTCCCACGTTGACTAAAATACCCCTCGAGAGGCTTGTAGGTGGTGCTGCTTCATCGGACAGATGTCTTGTGGTTACTGGTTGTCCTCGCTTCTCGGCCATCCCCATTTTCTAATTATTTTGTCAAAATTGTTGACAATCTAATTTTCCCTCAAAAGAAATATGGAGACAGAATTGACTCTTGGTAAAGCTTAATTTTTAATAATAGAGACCAGATTTAATTAGTAACTGTTTTGCTTGTTTAAATGCTAATCAATATAGTGTAAATCAGCCGAGTAAACTCGAGCTCGAGCCTAATGATGTTCATCTTGAACATTCGAGACTTATCGAGCTTATATATATTATTTTAGGTTACTCGAGTCTTGAGTTTAAAATTTTTCAAATCGAACTTGAGCCTCTGTCTGAATTCGAGTTAAGCTTGAACCTAAATTTTTAGACTCGTTGAGTTTCGAACAGAGCTTCGAGCCTAACAGGTTCGAGCTCTGCTCAACTCATTTAGACTCCTACTAATTAATAATAGATGTTAAACAGAATTCATTAGATTTATTACATTCGATAAGAATTAATTAAGAAAATGAATGAAACATCTCAATTTTAGAAAGAAAAAGAATAATCAACTAATTTATCCATTTAACTAATGCTTATTCAATTGAGACAAAGTTCAATAAAGATATGTAGACAAATATATAAATAATTAATCCTATTTTGATTTTCTAAAATTGTCATTTAAATAAAAAACCCAACAAATTTATCGAAATGAATAGATTATAGAATTAAAAAATTAATTATATTTTCAAAAAGAAGAGTAATATATATATAATTTGAGATAAATTAAAAAGGAAAAAATGCCTGTTTATATGAAATAAAAGAATAATAGTATAATTACTAACAAATATGTAAATTAAATAGAAACAGAATTATAAATATTAACTTTAAAATGAATGAAAAAGAAAAATGAGTGCGGCATGCAAAATCTTCTCCACTTGCATATATTTGAAAATTCTCACCATAGATTTGCTTTCAAAGACTTGGCTTCAACTGAACAATTCATTTTCATAAGGAGCTTGGCATTAAAGTTTTGATAGAAGCTCCAACGTATGGATTGGTGCCATTAATTGCTATCTGTCTTCGCCTTGAAAAATTCAACATCACCTATCCAACCACACAAATCTCCCTTTCGACATTATTGTTATTCTTACATTTCGAAATTATTTATTTTATTGTTTAATGTTTATATTATTTTATTATTTTATTTCATTCAGATTTTTTTTTTAAATTTTCAAATAATAATTTTACTTATTTTATCTCAAAGAAATAATTCTTTAATCAAGAAAGAAAAAACACCAAACACTCCCTCTACTTTTTATTTTCAAATAATAAGATTACGCTTAAATCATTAAAATCAATCAATAATAATCTACAAAAATAAACACTAATTAACAAAATAAGAACCCCTTCTAAAAAAAAAGAACACAAAATCTATGCTTAATTTGATACAATTCAATTTCAATAACACAAATAAAAATTATTCTTACACAAAGGTAATTATTCTTCAAAAAAAAAAAAAAAAAGAAAAAAAGACAAAACACCAAACACACTCCCTCTTACTTTTTTATTTTCAATCTAATGAAGATTACGCTTAAATCATTTTAAATCAATCAAATATGAAGATCCTAACCAAACAATACACCACTATTAGACAAAATAAGAACCCTTCTTAAAAAAAAAGAACACAATAATTATCCTAATTGCTTTAATATTTTGTATATACAATTTCAATTTTTAAATTAATATCACAAAATAAAATATATAATTCATTATCTTACATTTGTCATAAAGGGTAATTAATAAAAAAAAAAAAAAAAAAAAAGAAAAAAGAACATGCAACTGGAGATAAATCAGCAAATTCAATTATTTCAAGAATCAATAATCAAACACCAATGATTTCCTTCAATAATATATCAGCAACTCATTGGAGGAAGATCAACGCTTTTTGCAAGGGGCGGAGGAGAAGAAGTTTTCTTGAAAGCCCTACTTCCAAAAATCAAGAATCCAAGAGTATGACCAGCCACCGCCACCAAGAAAACACCGCCATTAAATGACATAACAGCCAACATAACCAAATAAGCCAAACCAACACGTAAAGCATGCAAGAAAGTCTGGATTAAACCGGCAAACAAGTTGGAAGAGCCAGGCTTGATCAAGTGAGAGTGAGAAAGCCATTCAACAAGAAAAGAAAAAGCAAAAACAACTATTAAAGCTAAAACATACATTCCAGCTCTTGTTCCAGGCCAACCGGAGAAGAGAATTTCTGCATTTTTGCCCCAAAAGAATGTCATGTGCATCATCATCTTATTGTGGGGATGCATCATGGTGGTCTTGTTCATGGTTGATGATGGACCTCCCATTCCCATGTCATGGTTATGTTCCATTTTGTTTCTCTCTATCAAAGCGTTTTCTCCTTCTGGGGAGACTCTTTTTGGCTTTGTTCTTCTGATATAGAAAGAAAGAGAGTAATTGGTTAGTGATCGTACATAAAAGACAAGTAAACGCTGTACAATATAAAAATCAATTAGAGTTCCTATCTGCTGTGGTACAATATAAAAATCCATACTATGCAACCTGATAAGCTAACAAAGGTTTGTTTGAAATGGAAAAAACCAATTTGTAGGGTTGACAAGTATCCAGTCTGACCTGAAAACCAAATCGAACCATTTCGATTTATTACTAATTAAAAATCAATCCGAGACCTTTGATCAAGGGAGGAAGAGTCCCAACTAAGGTTGCTAAACTCATAGTTTATTATTAAAGAAAAATTCTTTAAAAAGCAATCAAAGAATTTTTTCAGTCGGACCAAATATTTTTTGGTGTTCATCATTGTACATCAAAAAGTCATAAAAATAAATCATTTGTTCTCTTTTAAATCCATCAGTATTTAGCTCAAAAATATTTTCTTAATTACTGTGTTTGTTTTAATATTTGACTCAAATTTAATTTTTATTTTCACCTTTTGTTTCAATTTTTTTGCTATTAAAGATAACGAAATTCAAATTAAATATACATTTATCACTGAGTATTATCTTGATTTTATATATTTTATTTTAATGCAATATAGAAAACATAATTATGCTACATAAAATAAATATAGTTGATATTTATTATTTTTTGCAAATTACAATTTCATGAATATTTGAAGAAATAAAAATAAATCAATTTTTAATTATAAATTTAGTCCATATACAATTATATGAAATTCAATTAAATTATATGTTTTAAGTTGACCATACCAAACATGAAATTCATTCACAAATTCCATATTTTGAATTTATTTATATTAAATCGAATATAAAATATTGCGCACACCAGCGTGTAGCTTAAAGTGTATATACAACTTGGCAATAGATGCAGACTCGGATCCCTCTCTTCAATAATCAAAAAAGTATAAAATGTTGCTACCTGTTTTTTTTTTTTTTTTTTTTTGTTGCTACCTGTTTTTTTTTTTTTTTTTTTTTTGAAAGGAATAAAATGTTGCTATCGTTAACTGCATAGATTTTTTTTTTTTAAATAAGTGTTACGATTCACTGTAATTTTTTATTAATTCATTACAGCATGATTCGTGCTATCTAAAATTATTGAATTTAAAGAATTTGATTACTAACATCACCTATTAATTAAAATAAAAAGAAATAATAATAAGAGAGAATTTTCCATGGAATTTAGTTCACACAAAATGCATTTCATTAATCCGATGATGCATCGATTGCGTGATTACTTATTATTTAATAAAAATTATTGTTTTTTAATTTTTGTTTAATTAAATATAGAAGGATAATAAATTTAAAAATTTAAATTATTAAAAATATTGAGAAAAATATATATCTCTAATGTTATATTTATGAGACATTAATTAATATGATACTTAACTTTTTTTTATATAAATGAAATTTCATAAAATTTTATGAAATATCATTTAGAAACTTATTTGGTATCAATAGAAATTTATTTTAATTCCACAAATTCTCTAAGCATTTATAGAATTTGCAAATAACTTTAAGCTTGACAATTGCATGATAAAATTAATAAATTCAAAATAAAAATTAATAACATTATGTATTTTAAATGAATTTTATAATTAATTTAAATGTAAAAATTCATCCAATAAAATTTGTTTACAAATAAAATATAAAGAGTTTAATTTTTAACAATCAACAAATTTTTTTTTTTAATTCACTGGACGCATAATATAAAGAGGAATAATATTATATATTACATAATAGGAATAATTTTCTTTTAACTCATCAAATTGATGAAAAAGCAGAGACTGTATTTAATACATTTCAATCACAAAATTTATAATTTATTTATTTTTCACCAAAATAGGCCTGTCGCTGTTGTTATTTCTTAATCTTTATTTGGATTCATAAATTTAACTTTTTTTTTTCAACATGAAGCAAAAAGTCAACAAAAAATAAATAAAAAGAAAAAAAAAAATCAACCTAATACACAGCTTAAGTTGCCATATAAACACTAATTTACCAAAAATAAATAAAATAAAATCACAAACTTTTACACAAGGAAAAAGTTCATGAAAAGTGAGATTCCAAGAATCAAATTGTTATTATTATTAGATTTTTGTAATTTTTGTGACAACCCCATTTTTTTTTATCTAAATTTCTCGTCAAAACTATGGGTGAAAAGGTAAAAGAAATGATCTGAAATGGCAAAGAAAAATAGAAAAAGAAATGAGAAAAGAAGCAAAAGAAAAAGATTCCATGTCCGAAAATGAAAAATATAGGCAACATCATCCTCATTGACAGTCTGGGAAAGCCAAGCACACCGTAGACTGGATAAGGCCTAACTATTTTGGTAGTTGTTAGCTATTTTAATAGCGTTTAGCTATTAGCTGTTTGATTAGTTTTTAATAAAACGCTAAACGATAAAAGCTAAACGCTAGTTCAAAGGTTTGTTTGGCAAAATTAGCTGTTAGCTATTTTAGTAGTGTTTAGCTATTTTAGTAGCTTTCCATGAAACGCTAAAAGTAAAACGTTTTATATAAGTTAACTTTTTATAAAACGCTATATTAATCTTTAAAAGTTAGTTCAAACACTATGTTACCGAACATTATAAAAAATAACATTTAGATTTTTACTAGTCAAAAGGCTAAAAGCTACTTAAAAAAGCTATTACCGAACACGATCCAAATGTTATGTTACCAAATAATATAAAAAATATGCGTTTTATCAAAATACTAAAAACTACTTAATAAGCTATTGCCGAACATGGTCAAGATCTATGATTTAAATTGATAAGTCGTAAGGAAACACCAAACAATAGATGAAAGGGAAAACCTTTGTCACATTTGGACTATGCGAATGCAAATGAGGTGTTGGGCAGTGCTTAAAGCTACCTTTCAAAAGGACAATTTTGTCATTCTTAAGCCCATCTCATGGCAAGAATAACAACCCATCATTTTAGTTTCGAAGGCTGTTTTTAACTTTTAGTGGAAAAATTTGGCCTAAGGTTTTGCCGTGAATAATTTTTGATGTAGCTTTAGCCTTTTGATTGAGATAAAAACATTACCTCTACTATAAAACGCTAAAATTCAAAACACTATCTTTACTATTTATATGTTCGTTGCTTGGAAATGAAAATGAAAAAAAAAAAGTGAAAAATGCAAAAATAATAAGGAGAAACAACACTTAAAATATAATTTTAAACGGAAAAAATATATTTTATACGAGAAAACAGATATATGAAAATATTTCTAAAACTCAGAAACTCTCATGGCTATAGTAGTTTTTAGAGTTTAAAGGAATAGATTACAAAATATTACCTCATTTATTATTTATTCAAATGTTAATCAAATAACTACAGGTGCTAAAGGTGAATTTAGTTTAAATGTTAATAAATTTTTAAATAATACTTAATAAAAATTATTATTATTATTAATAACAATAAATAAAATAATAAAATATATTGATTTGAAAATTTTTACGAATAATTATTTTTTTTTTCTGAAATTAATGGAGTCCGAATAAAATAATAGATATTTGGCCCGTGAGATAAAATTATTTTTACAATCATATATAACAGATCTAAATTCAGTCCAACCTGAAGAAAAAGAGCACAGCTAGCATGTAGAATTAATTGAGAATCTGTATAAACAGAGCCTGGACTTTGAAAACGAATCTCTATCCACTGAAGCTAGCTCTAAAATTAAGCTATAAAAATGCCCAGAAACTGCAGAGCCATAAAGAACCTGCAGCATCTGCCATCAAACCTCTGAATCGTAGAAGATGATTCGTCAACATGAACCCAAAACAAAGTGTTTCTTGCAGTCCATAATTTTCATGAAAGAACAACAAAAATAATCTGATTGTCCATATTATAAGAAGAAAGAAACTGTTAAGAACAAAGCTTAAAGGAAACATCAAATCATAGTTCTGCTAAACCACTATCCCTTCACACGCTTCTTGCTTTATCACAAGTAAGTAATTAAATGATAGAAAATAATATTTAGACACATAAGAGGGGATTTCCTTCACAAGAAAACACGTTTTTATTGATAGGAAAGAAATATTTAGAATTACAAGGAAAACAGTTATTTTGACAAAAATAAACATAAATTCTCCTAAGTGAATGCTATACTTATTCTGAACTTATATCATCAAATTCCCAATAATTTGGAGTTTCCCAAGAAATATCTCCGTCGAATTCACTTCCATCACCAAGTGGCACAAGACTTTCCCAACAGACGAAAGAATTGTACTCATAAGGCAGATCAATACTAATCTGAACCCTTTCGTCTCTCTTCTCATGGAGGTCATAACAAATAATTTCCTTCCCCTCTGTATCAAGTAACCAGAGGTTGAAGCTTGAGTATGCTAAAGGTTGCAGGTCAAACAGCCCTTGAAAATCAGCATATAATTTTCTCCAAATAAACCCAATTCCATGGTTTTCTCTAACATAGAGCTCAAAAAACTGTGAACGGTCGAACTCTTCATGTTCACAGTCGTTTCCCACATAAGTTATTTTGCTCATACAGAGGCAACCTTCTAAAACGTGCAAATCTGTAATTGGTTGATGGCTACTCGGTCGAGGGCCGTACACAGGTTGTGGCACCACGCAAAACGTCTCATTAGCTAGATCAAAAGCAATGATTACCTCCGGCCCATTTTTTTCCAACAATAGCCAGTGCAAGGCACCGTTAGCTAAGAATCCTCCACTAAGAATGGAAGATATGGAATAATCAGTGTAAGGGAAATCCGGAAGGCTCCTCCAAGAATTGGATTTCAAACTGAAAACCCAAAGTCGATTTGGTTTAGAATCCACTGAAATTTTCACAACTTTGTAGTCATCGCTGGCATAATCATAGCCTAATCCAAATGCACAGTTCCATAGACAAAGAGGAGAAAGAGGTAGCTTCTTACACTGCCTAGTGAATGGATTCCATAAAGCAAGTCTCTCATTTATGAATAAGAGAAGTAAACCATTACAAGAACCATATATTATCGTGTCTAACCTTTCTTCATATGGGTGATTGAGCAACCTGGGTTCTTGGGGTTCCTTATCAAAATTTATGGCATAAATTTCCTCAGGCACATACGGGCTATCGTTTTCTTTTCCTTCCTGGATTATCAATTTGCGATTTGTTTTGGTTTCCATGGATCTCTCGAGATGTTGCTTGATAAAATTTGGGTCATCGATCATGCTGCACGATGATTTCGAAACGCCTCTGAAACGCAAGAGAGACTTCACTGGCAGCCACAGGAAAATCTCGGACACTAAGTCTGCTGGAAGTGTTTTCACTGTCGTTTGTTTTTCCATAGCCATAGCAAGATTTGGGGTTGGGATTTTAGGGTTTGGAATTTTGGGTTTTCAGCTTCTATAGGCAGGCAGTATTTATATTGGCTCGAAAAGACAGTGTTGAGCGACAAATAAACTCTCGGGATTAAATTACGACGCAATCTGTAATCTGTAATCTGTAATATATATATATCCATAGGCGCATACGGAGATTTGGGGTTTGGGATTTTTAGGGTTTCGGAATTTTGGGTTTTCGAAGCTTCTATAGGCAGGGTCAGTATTTATATTGGGTCTCGAAAAGGACCAAGTGTTGTAGCGACAATAGAACTCTTTCCGGGATTAAATTAACGACGCAATCTGTAATCTGTAATCTGTAATATATTATATATAGTATTATATATCAGTATATGTGTATCTCTAAATTAAAAATTGCCCTATAGAATTGATTGCTAAAAAATAATATAGTGGAAACAACTAATAATCAAGATTATATTTGTTTTTAAAGTAAAAAGAGAAGTTTAATTCTCAATTTTTGAATTGCCAGGGTATTTAATTCAATTTGTCTTTTTTATACTATTTGTAATTGTTATGGATTAAATTGTGGAACTAAATTTTATTGATTAGGACTACACAATAATTATTTAATCATATTTTTAATAGTTATATAAGTTAAGTATTATCTTAGCATTTATTATCCTTACAATAAATATAATATGTTAAATTACTATTTTTAAGGAGAGAGAGCACACAATATATATATATATATATATTAATCTAAATATAAAATTGCCCTATAGATTGATTGGCTAAAACAATAATATAAAAAACTAATAATAAGATATATTTTTTTAAGTAAAAAGAGAAGTTAATTCTCATTTTTGATTGCCAGGGTATTTATTATTTTGTTCTTTTTATACTAATTTAATTTTATGGATTAATTGTGAACTAACATTTATTATTATGACTACAATAAATTAATTAATCATATTTTAATAGTTAATAAATTAATATTATCTTAGCAATTTATTATCCTTACAATAAATTAATATTTAAATTACTATTTTAAGGAGAGAAACAAATATATCAATTTTTTATCAATGAGATATTACCGTGTAAGACATATAACTAAAAGAAATATTTACTGTATATATAAAGTGTAATATAATTTAATCACTGTATTTATTACAATCTAAATAAGAATTTATACTTTAATATTATAAATAAAAAAGTTAAACGAATATACAAAATGAACATATAATGAGCATAGTCAACGTGCATCGCACATCATAAAAAAAAACCAGTATATATAAAAGTACGAATGGGAAGGGGAACATTGTTTCCTATGACTATAATGGTTATATGCTCATTTTTTATACTAGTTTAGCTTTTTTATTTATATTATTAAAGTATAAATTTTTATTTAGATTGCAATAAATATAATGGTTTTTATATGTACAGTAAAATCTTTTAATTATATGTCTTGCACCGTAATATCTTACTGAAAAAAAATTAATATATTTGTTTCTTCCTTTAAAATAATAATTTAAATATGAAATATGTTATTTATATTATCTTTTAACGTAATCGTTCATACAGTGAATAACTTTTTAATTAGAGGTTTCTTGGGGATCTGCATGATACTCAATAGTGAGTAAAATCAAATTAAGGTTGAAAATAGGTTTGAGATTCACTTAGGAGTTTATGTTCTTTTTGTCGGAAAAACTCTTTTCCTTTTTGAATTTTAATAATACTTTCCATATCTATACTTTATCTGCTGCTATATTAAGAACATGCAGTATCAAACTGATCAAATGAATAGCCTATCACTATTACTTGATAGATATAGACATATTAGTTAGCTGACAATTGCTAAACACAACTTAAAAGTACTAAACTAATAAACTTCCTACAGGCATAAATTCCTTCAAATTGATGGTCCACTCAAATTCATGCTCTTCTTCCACTTTGAAGCAATCCTTGCAGTTCTCCTGTCAATAAAGATTTTCTTTTCCTGGAATCCAAACAAAATTAGCTTTCTAATATATGAAGACATTTGCACAATGAATAATGGAAATGCAAAAGAGAATCCAGCTCTAGGCCTAGGAAATATCTTCACAGCTTTATTTTGGCGAGCTGATAACAATAACATAGAAAAAGAAAAAGCATAACACGGAACAGTCAATTGCATCAGAATTTTGAAAATGGACTTTAAAGTAGCTAATCCTAGCAAGGCGTCTTCTTTAACTTTAACCATTCAATTATTACACAATTGAAGCCAAATTACAATATGAAAAAACACAATACCTAATTGATTGGCCATCCAGCACCTCCATGCAAAACTTGCAGTCCTGGTTATGCAGCTTGTGCAAGTAAGAATCTAAAGAAAGCAAAGAAAATGCGGAAAAATGCTCTTTCAGAAACTGTTCATCTCCACCAGCCAAACCAAGAAAGGAAACTTTCCATTTTCAGTTTCCTGATAAGGAAATTTCTTTCCCAGATCAAAGTTTTTTAGCAACCAAAGGAACGGGAAATGTCAAGATTAGCATGTTTGCAGCAATTTCATTAAAAAAAGAAAGAATAAATTAAAGTGGTTCTTTTGTAAATTAAATAAGCCAAAGTATAATAATAACTGATAATACAAATTATTTATTAAAACATTCTTCTCCAAAAAATGTGGAAATGGTATTTTGTATGAATATTCAGTAGTGGCTTTTCCACCGTAGTCTATTCCTCGAAAGTTACTAATTAAGCAATAGAGCAAAATAGATATGAGATCTAAAAGCAAAATACAAGAAATAATAGAAAAATAAATAAAAACCAAAACCGGATAAAGATAAGTGAAAAAATGATGCAGTTATAAAATTTATTTAAAAAATATAAAAAAAGGTAGCAATGGAATTATTAAAATAGAATAAATAGTTTAGAGAGGTCATGATACCTCTTCTGAAAACTATTAAACAAAACTGTTATACCTAAACAGCACAATAGAATTCACTAATCTTCTAAAATATCCTAATAAAAATTCGATATTGAATTTGGAAAATTTTATAGATACCCAAAGAAGTTAGCTAGATAACCCCTCTAAATATTTCGTAGATTACCTTATTGTCTACAAACTAGATGAATACAAAATTTGAATCATTAAATTTAATAGAGGAATAAGTTGCAGTATCAGGATCTAGTAGACGAAATTGAAACAAGTATAATACATTATAACATTTTTATGATTGTAAAATAGGTATTTAATAAATAATATACAAAAAAAATTAAGAAACTTACATCTCCACAAAAACTCTATAATCAATTCATATCTTCCCCTAATGTACACAAGCAATTCAATATATAGTTGAACAAGAACCTAAAGAAAAAATATTGAATAAATATGTAAATATTGAAAAATTAATATTGTAAGATTAAAAATTGAAATATCAAAATAAACTTTGTTATTAATTACCTGCCAATAACCAATTTTGTGAATACATTAATGCTTCTATTTCAATGAATACTAACAACTTTCAACTAGTGCTAAATGCAGATTTAGATGCAATGATAGACAGCGGCACGACGATGAAAACAAACTATAAGACTAGAAACTAAAAAAGAGAAGTATAAGTAAAGGATAATTTTAAAATTCTAGACGTTTAAAACTCTTTAATACATTTTTGTCACATTTATGCATAGAGGGTTGCTGGTGTATCTTCTATCGAATTATTATATTGGTGTATAAATTAAGTTTTTGGCAATTTGTTGGGTTGAAATATTAATTGTTTTAGAATATATTTTTATATTTCTTTTATTAGATAATATATTTTCTTACTTGGACTCCATTTATTTTTAAAGATAATTAGATAAATAACTCAGCAAACTTTGGATTATCCAAATCCTTATCTAAACAAAACTGAAACTATAGCCCTTGAGCTTCTAAAAAAGAGCATTGCTACACCTTTTTTTAAACTTATCTTATCGTAAAAACTAATTACTGAAAGGACATTATAGTTTCATCTTGAGGATTAATTTGTCGTTCAACATCTCCTTCCGAGCCAATATAAATATTACTTGTAGAAGCTGAAAAACCAGGAAGTCTAAACCCTAAACCCAGATCCAAAAACCCGCTCGCATTGGCAATGAAAAGACGAACAACAAATACAACACTTCCACCGGACTTAATAAACGAGATTTTTCTATGGCTGCCGGTGAAGCCTCTCTTGCGTTTTAGATGTGTTTCGAAAACATTGTGCAGCCTGATTGATAGCCTAGATTTCATCAAGCAGCATCTGGAGAGATCGACGGAGACTGAGACAAATCGCAAACTGATTATCCATGAACACAGACCATACAATATCCCAGGTTGGGAAAGGCCTAAGGATATTTATGCCATCGATTTTGATAAGGAGCCCCAAGAACCAAGAGAGCTCAATCACCCATTTAAAGAAATTAGGATGCACACAACAATCTATGGTTCTTGTAATGGTTTACTTCTTTTACTCATAAAGAAGAGACTTGCCATATGGAATCCATTCACTAGGCAGTGTAAGAAGCTACCTCTTTGTCCTCTTTGTGGAGAAGGACAAATTTACTGTGCATTTGGATTAGGATATGATTATGCTAGCGATGACTACAAAGTTGTGAAAATTTCAGGGATTGCGAACCTAAATCGAGTTTGGGTTTTCAGTTTGAAATCCAATTCGTGGAGGATCCTTCCGGATTTCCCTTACACTGATTATTCCATATCGATATCTTCCTCGGGAGGATTCTTTGCCAATAGCGCCTTGCACTGGCTTTTGCTGAAAAAAATGGACCACATGGACTACGGCAATTCGTCAGAGATGACAATAGCTTTTGATCTAGCTAATGAGACATTTTGCATGGTCCTTCAACCTGTGTACAGCCCTCAACCTGTGTTCATCTATGATTCTAAGATCCATTTGCATGTTTTAGAAGGTTGCCTTTGTATCAGCAAAATGAATTATGCGGAAAGGGACTTTGAACAGTATGAGTATGAAAACTTCGTGTTGTATGTTAGAGAAAATTATGGAATGGGGTTTACTTGGAGAAAATTATACACCACTTTGCAAAGGGAGCTTGACCTGCAACCTTTGGCATACTCAAAGAAGGGGAATAAGGTTTGGTTAACTTATAAATGTTATTGTAGTGAAATTATTTGTTATGATCTTCATGAGAGGAAGACAGACAAAAGGGTCGAGATTAATATTAATGGTCTCCGACGACGCACGAACCTTTCAGTCGTTTGTTGGGAAAGTCTTGTGGAACTTGGTGATGGAAGTGAATTCGATGGAGATATTTCTTGGGATTCCGATGATGATAGTGAGTGAAATCAAAGTAAAAGGTCAAAATAAGTTTATAAACTCTATAATTAGTTCTTGAAAATAAAAGGATTTATTATATTAGTTTCCTTATAATTTAGGGACCCGAAGTTTTTTCTCCCTGACAATATTAATATTATAAAAATAAAAATAATAATAATAATAATTGAATTATGTTCTAATAATGTTTTGCTAATAAGAATCCAATTTGGTGTGTATTAATTAGTGGAAAATTAAAGTGATGGCCAGTGATCAAGAACAGAAATTGTTGGGATATGATGATATATGGCAGATTCGCAGTTGCCAGAAAATGACAAATATTTCATTTGTCGTTTTTCATTTCTGGGCAGAGAGACGAGAGAATCATTTAGATCCAGTTACTCAGAGTCACACGTTTTGTCTTTCGGATTGTCTTTTAATTTACATCTATATCAGGAGAATATACCAAAGAATACAGGACAGAAAGCAATGCCTCTATGAGCTGTATAACAATATAAAAAATTAAGTCATTATCAGCAAAAAGAGATGTGCTTCTCTTTTTAGATAGCTCTCAAAGAAACTAAAGAGAACTAACCAGTGATCTGATAAACTGAGCTAAAATTTCTGATGCAAAGTGATATGGATACACGAGCGCATAGACGCCGGCATGCGGTGCTAGTGCCTTGTCCATTCCAAGGTCACATAAGTCCAATGCTTCAGCTAGGAACAATCCTACAGTCAAAGGGTTTTTCCATTATCGTTGTTCACACAAAATTTAACTCTCCCAATTCCTCCGACCACCCGGAATTTGTTTTCCAATCTATACCAGATGGCTTATCCAGTCAAGAAATTGTATCTGGGAATTTACTAGAGATTATATTAGCACTCAATCAAAACTGCAAGATACCCTTTCAAGAATGCTTGCCTAGGATAATGGCTCGAAAGGATTCTGATGGTGAGATTAATTGCATCATATATGATGAGCTCATGTACTTTTCTAATAATGTTTTGCTAATAAGAATCCAATTTGGTGTGTATTAATTAGTGGAAAATTAAAGTGATGGCCAGTGATCAAGAACAGAAATTGTTGGGATATGATGATATATGGCAGATTCGCAGTTGCCAGAAAATGACAAATATTTCATTTGTCGTTTTTCATTTCTGGGCAGAGAGACGAGAGAATCATTTAGATCCAGTTACTCAGAGTCACACGTTTTGTCTTTCGGATTGTCTTTTAATTTACATCTATATCAGGAGAATATACCAAAGAATACAGGACAGAAAGCAATGCCTCTATGAGCTGTATAACAATATAAAAAATTAAGTCATTATCAGCAAAAAGAGATGTGCTTCTCTTTTTAGATAGCTCTCAAAGAAACTAAAGAGAACTAACCAGTGATCTGATAAACTGAGCTAAAATTTCTGATGCAAAGTGATATGGATACACGAGCGCATAGACGCCGGCATGCGGTGCTAGTGCCTTGTCCATTCCAAGGTCACATAAGTCCAATGCTTCAGCTAGGAACAATCCTACAGTCAAAGGGTTTTTCCATTATCGTTGTTCACACAAAATTTAACTCTCCCAATTCCTCCGACCACCCGGAATTTGTTTTCCAATCTATACCAGATGGCTTATCCAGTCAAGAAATTGTATCTGGGAATTTACTAGAGATTATATTAGCACTCAATCAAAACTGCAAGATACCCTTTCAAGAATGCTTGCCTAGGATAATGGCTCGAAAGGATTCTGATGGTGAGATTAATTGCATCATATATGATGAGCTCATGTACTTTTCAGAAGCAGTAGCTAATCAACTGAAAGTTCCAAGCATAGTATTACGAACCATCAGTGCAGCTGCCTGTACTGCTCGAGTAGCCATTTTACAACTCAAGGCCAAAGGTTCTATTCCCTTTCCAGGTATTTGATGCAATTTAAAGTAAATTTTGGCGATATCTTTTTATAATTAGCGTTGTAACAGAACTTAAATATGCAGATTCTGTATCAAAGGAACTGGTGCCGGAACTCGATCCTTTAAGGTTTAAGGATCTACCAATTTCCAGGTCGGGGGTACCAGATAATTTCTTGCATTTGGTAGCTTGTGCATATAACATAAAGACATCTTCAGCTGTCATTTGGAATACAATGGATTGTCTCGAAGAATCCCTATTGTTGAAGCAGCGGCAAAAGCAACTCCCTGTTCCAATTTTTGCAATAGGTCCAATGCATAAATTTGCACCAGTTTGTTCCAGCAGTCTGCTAAAAGAGGATACTAGTTACATTCCATGGCTCAACAAGCAAAAACCAAAATCAGTTCTTTACATAAGCTTAGGAAGTCTAGCTTCCATAGATGAAACAGAATTAGCCGAAATGGTGTGGGGTCTCACCAACAGTAAGCAGCGTTTTTTGTGGGTGATTAGGCCTGGTTCAATATCTGGTTCAGAATGGATTGGATTATTGCCAGAGGGCTTTGTGGAAAGTGTTGGAGAAAGAGGTTTCATTGTGAAATGGACATTGCAAAGGGAGGTGTTGGCACATCCTGCGATAGGAGGGTTTTGGAGTCACTGTGGATGGAATTCGGCATTGGAAAGTATATCTGAAGGGATTCCAATGATATGCAGGCCATGTTTTGGAGATCAAATGGTAACTGCAAGGTATGTGAGTCATGTTTGGAGAACAGGTTTGATATTGGAGAACAAGTTAGAGAGAAAGGAAATAGAGAGTGCAGTGAGAAGGCTAATGATAGATAAAGAAGGAGAAGAAATGAGACAGAGGGCCGCTGATTTGAAGGAAAAAGTTGAAGTTTGTTTCAAGAAAGGTGGTTCCTCTTATAATTTCTTGGATAGGTTAGTAGAATTTATGTCCCACTTATAGTAACAATTGATGAATAAATAAAAACTCAATAAAGACATTTGCATGATTCAATCTCAAGTTTATGTATTGTGCTATTTATGTTATTATATATTTTGTTTTTATTACATCAAACAGAAGTTAAAAATCCAACTTTATAAGTTATTCTGTAAAATTAAGAACAAATACCATATATAATTCGGTTTTTCATCTCTGCGAAATAAAAATTCTGACCAGATATTTCAATGGCCTTCACATCAGGTTTCTTAACTTCCTCTTTAAGAACAGTAACAGTAAGGACCCCATTTTCCATTGAAACCTTCCTCAAGAGCTCGCCACTGCTACGTTCCTTTCAAGGGCTTGTGAATGCCAATGTTGATTCATTTTATCTTTTTTTTTTCCCCTTATTTTTCAAATTAAAAGATAAACAAAAAATGTCTTGTTTTTATTGGTTTGGTGTACATAAATCAGGAGTATTTTCTTAAAGTATATTCAAGTTGATTCAGAATCTTAAATGAAGCAAAATTTATTGAACTCAAATATTACTCAATTATTAGACGAGTCTGAAAAAAAAAAATCAAATAATCTTATAAAGAGCAGAGAATAAATTAGTACAAGGTTCCCTTTGCAAAGGGTTTTTGGTTTTAATTTATAGAGAAGATCCACTTACAATTTAGACCAAAATAAACAGAAAATCTCCTGAGTGAATACGAATAGTGCTCATTTCAGCTCAGATTACTCATTTTAATTTTATTTCAAACACAAACTCAAAATTCCGTGCAGGCATTCGAGACTTTACCGGGAAATATCTCCATCAGATTCACTTTCATTAGACCAAGAAATAGCTCCATCAAATTCACTTCCATCACCAAGTGGGACAAGACTTTCCCAGCAGACGAAAGCAAGATACTCATAATGCAGATTATTAATATTAATCTGAACCCTTTTGTCTCTCTTCTCATGGAGATCATGACAAATAATTTCCTTCCAAGCTTTATCAAGTAACCAAACTTTATTCCCTTTCTTCGAGTATGCCAAAGGTTGAAGTTCACGCAGCTGCCCTTGCAATAATTTTCTTCAAGTAAACCCGATTCCAGAATTTTCTCTATACAACTCGAACGTGTCATAAGTCGGTTCATAGTCCTTTCCCTCATAATAAGTGAATTTGCTGATATAGAGACGACCTTCTAAGACCTGCAAACCCGTATAATAAGACCTGCACACATGTTGAGGGCTGCACACAGGTTGTGGCACCATGCAAAACGTCTCATCAGCTAGATCAAAAGCAATGATCACATTTGACCGATTGTTGTAGTCTAGGTTTTTTCCCCAGAATAACCAGTGCAAGGCCCCATTGGCTAAGAATCCTCAACGAGGAGAAAAAGGAGGTATGTGATAATCAGTGTCGGGGACATCCGGAAGAGTTCTCCAAGAATTGGATTTCAAACTGAAAACCCAAACTCGATGTGGCTCAGAAATCCCTGAAATTTTCACAACTTTGTAGTCATCGCTAGCATGATCATATCCTAATCCAAATGAACAGCAAAATTGCCTTTCTCCACAAAGAGAAGAAAGAGGTAGCTTCTTACACTGCCTAGTGAATGGGTGATTGAGCTCTCTGGGTGTATTTGGCATACTCGAAGGAACCTTTGGCATACTCGAAGAAAGGGAATAATGTTAAGGAGACCGTTACAAGAACCATAGATTATTGTGTCAAAGGAAACTTAGATTATAGAGACTTGCTCTATGCCAAAGGAACCTTATTCCCTTACGTCTCCTTTATAGGTTGCAGAAGGAGACCGTTACAAGAACCATAGATTATTGTGTCAAAGGAAACTTAGATTATAGAGACTTGCTCTATGCCAAAGGAACCTTATTCCCTTACGTCTCCTTTATAGGTTGCAGAAGGAGACCGTTACAAGAACCATAGATTATTGTGTCAAAGGAAACTTAGATTATAGAGACTTGCTCTATGCCAAAGGAACCTTATTCCCTTACGTCTCCTTTATAGGTTGCAGAAGGAGACCGTTACAAGAACCATAGATTATAGACCTTATTCCCTTACGCGTTACAAGAACCATAGATTATTGTGTCAAAGGAAACTTAGATTATAGAGACTTGCTCTATGCCAAAGGAACCTTATTCCCTTACGTCTCCTTTATAGGTTGCAGAAGGAGACCGTTACAAGAACCATAGATTATTGTGTCAAAGGAAACTTAGATTATAGAGACTTGCTCTATGCCAAAGGAACCTTATTCCCTTACGTCTCCTTTATAGGTTGCAGAAGGAGACCGTTACAAGAACCATAGATTATTGTGTCAATCCTTTTTTTAAATGGGTGATTGAGCTCTCTGGGTTCTTGGAATTCCTTATCACAATTGATGGCATAAATATTCTCGGGCATCGACCAGCCTAGGCTAATGTTTGGTTTGTGTTCATGGATAATCAGTTTGCGGTTTGTTTTGGTTTTCATGGATCTTTTGAAATGCTGCTTGATAAAATCTGGGCTATCGATCAGGCTGCACAATGTTTTCGAAATGCATCTGAAACGTAAGACAGGCTTCACCGGCAGGCACAGGAATATCTCCGGGATCAAGTCCCGTGGAACTGTTGTCATTGTCGTTCGTCTTTCCATTGCCACCGCAGCGAGTTTTTGGATTTGGGATTGGGATTTAGGGTACAGACTTATTGGATTTTCGTCTTCTATGAGAACCAGTTGGAAAAGAATGGATCGTCTTTATACTTTCTTGGACCAAATTTAATCCTCAAGGTACAACTATAAATGGGAAAAAACAATAAATTGGTTCTTAATACACGAGGACCCCTGTTTTCAAAAGAACTAATTATGATGTTACTTAACTTATGATTTCATTAACACATTAGTCTTCAGTTTAAAATAATATCTTTTAATTGTCAATTGACTAAGAAATCGATTCATAAATTATAAACAATTAAGTCCCTAATTTGTGATTTCCATTAACACTTTGGTTATTTTCTTATGATTTCCTTTAACATTTTAGTTGCTTTGTTTTGGACGGAACAACCAAAGTGTTAATAAACCATAGTTTATGATTATATGCTGCAGGCTCACTTTCTCTCTTGCGAAGAAGGAAGAAACATGGAATTAGAAGAACCTACCTTTTATATGGCTATGGAAATTCTAGCAAGATAACAGAAAGTGCATATTTAAATATTAATTGTTTCAAATCATGAGAAGCTAAAGCTTTACTTAACTTTCTATGCTATAAACTTCTAAAAGACTACCTTTTTCTTTAGATTCGACAGCAACTTTCTCTAGTGCTTGCAGAAAAGAAGGTTACTCTGCAAATGCTCGTGTTTATTGCGTAATCATACCGTGATTTTGTAATTTTTGTTGATATTCTTTGCTGGTTCTGAAAAAGATTATAATTGAAAAATATCTATCCTACCATATCCATGTCAATACTCTCTAGCTATGATGCACAGAAACTCCTAGCCATGGGTTTTTCGAAAACGTTTTCTCATGTCTATTTCTGCGTATAAAATATCATTTTTTCGTGTAAAATTATATTTTAAATGTAGTTTCCATGTTTTCATATTTCTTGGTTTCTATTTCTGTGTGACATAGCTCTCTACTCTCTACCAAGAAATCTTTTCACTTGGAAGAGAACAAAAAACTATAATCGATTACTTTGTTCTAAATTGTAATTTGATAATTTCATGTAACAATAATACTAGTGATGCCACACAAGCATATACTAATTTTCTTTTTATTACATCACATGAAACTCATTAAATCCAACTCATTCACTTGGAAATAAAAGTTTCAATTCTAACCAGAGATGTCAATGGCCTTGACATCAAGTTTCTTGACTTCCTTTTTAGGAACAGTCACAGTAAGAACTCCATTCTCCATTGAAACCTTTACTTGATTCAACTTTGCATTTTCCGGCAGCCTCAATCTCATCAAGAAGTCGCTAGTGCTTCGCTGCACGAGAAGCCAAATATCATCTTCGTCTGCTTTTTCCACATTCGTCTCTCAATCTCTACCTTCACTTCCTCTTTTTTAAACCCAGGAACATCAACCTTGAATATATGAACTTCTGGTGTCTCTTTCCACTCGAAAGAAGATAAATTAGGATTGAAATTGCTGCTTCCTGATGAGCTATCGAGGAAACTTTGAACCAGAGACATTCTAATTTGTTTACGCTTAGCAAAGATTTGATTGATAGCTGAGAAATTATGAATTGCTTCTTCTCGTTGTTGTTGAGGTTGAGAGAAAATAGTTTGATATTTATAGAAAGAAGAAGAGAGATTTTGATGTTTTGGCATGCTTCACTAACTGAAACATATAATCCATAATTACTTAGTAATATTATTTCAAAATAAATTCTAGATCATTAGTAATTATTAAGATAAACATTTAATTTACTTGTATTGAAATAATATATTCTGTAAATAAATTGGCATTCATACTATAATTTATATGATTATCATCAAATTAATAGCTTGACTAATTAAATTAAATTAATCATACAAATATAATCACTAATAATTCTCTCTTAAACACTCACAAATCCAGCTAGCTTATAATTGCTCGACACCATACTCATGTTTCCTCAAAACTATTATGCAGATAATTATTTCTACGTTTCGAAAACGTTTCCTGTGTCCATTTCCTCTATAAAATACTGTTTTTTCTCGTGTGTAATTATATTTTTAATTGTCATTTCCTTGTATCGTTTCTGCATTTCTATCTTTCTTTGTTTCGGTTTACATGCAACATAGGCTCAAATATGGCAATGGCGCAAGTAGCTTACTCGTAGTATGGTGAAAACAGAGAAAATTAAAAAATATGTAACAAGCAGAGCAAAATAATTGTTTTTACTAGATCTTTGCATAAGAATATTTCTTTTTTTATTACATCATACAGAGCTTAACAATCCAACTTATTTTCCCTGTAAAATTCAATCAAACACCATATGAGAAATGAAAATTCTAACCAGAGATTTCTATTGCCTTAACATCAGGTTTCAGAATTTCCTCCTTAGGAACAGTCACAGTAATTACTCTATTTTCCATTGAAGCCTTTACTTTATCTATCTTTGCATTCTTCAGCAGCCTGAATCTCCTCAAGAACTGCCCACTGCTACGTTCCACTCGATGCCATTTGTCATTCTTTTTTCTTTCTCCACATTCCTTTCTCCACTGATTTGAAGAACTCTGTCATCTTCAACCTCAAACTTCACTTCATCTTTTTTTAAGCCCAGGAACATCAGCCTTGAACGCATGAGCCTCTGTGTCAGTTTCCGGTCTCTGCGAGTGTTAACAAAGGCAGAATTTTCACGATAAATGATTGAAGATGATGAAGGAAACGTAAAATCTTTGGACGGATCCCGCAAATCGAAAGAAAAGAAAGGATCGAAAATGCTACTTCGTCAGTTACCGAGGAAGCTTGGAATCATCGCAATTTGTTATGTTGATTGTTGAGAAAGATATCTTATTCAAAAGTAAATTTGTTGCTGTCCATGTCGATTGTCAATGGTGAAATGGAGCGCTCGGGAAATTTGTCTGGAACACTCGGGATTTGGATTTGGACTTCTTTTCGAAAATTCTGGAGGAAAATACTCGATTTTCAAATGGGTGGGAATTCCAAACTTGGCTCTAAAGAATGGGCGATCACACTAGCACTTTCTTTCCTCACCTTCAGGGCTTCAATAATCTTTGTTTAAAGGGCCTGCCGATTTTAATTCATTTTTTTGCTCTAAAGAATATTTTCCTGCATCATTTGCTTTCCAATTTTAGGTAACTAACAGCCAGAATATCAAATTTTAGCAATTGAAATGGTAATCTTTTGAACAAATTGATAAAGTTTATGGCATAAATTTTTGGACTTTAACCAAGATTTCATAATATATAGTTTCTTTTCCAATGAAACGAATTTCTTTCAACATTTGATAAAAAGGGTTTCGAGTGGTCTTGAAACAGCTGGTGGCAGCCATTAAAAACAAACAAATAGCAAAAAGTATATGCTAATTTATTAGGTTGCAAATGCAACTACATACACACGTGTGTACATTTCAGAACAAACACACACTTCTTTTCAACTCTTAACACACACCCAGTGCAGTTTACAAGAGAGCAAATTGCTTAGCTAGAGATGTCAATAGCCTTCACATCAGGTTTCTTGATTTCCTCCTTAGGAACAGTCACAGTAAGAACTCCATTCTCCATTGAAGCCTTTATTTGATCCATCTTTGCATTCTCCGGCAGCCTGAATCTCCTCATGAACTTCCCACTGCTACGTTCCACCCGATGCCAAGTATCATTCTTGTCTTCTTTCTCCACATTCCTCTCTCTTTCTCCACATTTCTAACCTCTCTCCGCTTGATTTGGAGAATTCTGTCATCTTCAACTTCTACCTTTCACTGTCTTTCTTTCTTCAAGCCCATGGAACATCTGCCTGAATATATGAGCTTCTGGTGTCTCTTTCCAGTCTTATGCGAGTGTTATAAAAGCAGCAATTTTCACGAGAGGAACGATTGAGATGATTGAAGGGCCACTGCTACGTTCCACCCGATGCCAAGTATCATTCTTGTCTTCTTTCTCCACATTCCTCTCTCCGCTGATTTGGAGAATTCTGTCATCTTCAACTTCTACCTTCACTTCTTCTTTCTTCAGCCCAGGAACATCTGCCTTGAATATATGAGCTTCTGGTGTCTCTTTCCAGTCTATGCGAGTGTTAATAAAAGCAGAATTTTCACGAGAGACGATTGAAGATGATGAAGGGAAAGGAAAGTCTTTGAATGGATCCCAAACGTCGAAAGCAGAGAAAGGATCGAAAATGCTGCTTCGTGAGTTACCGAAGAAACTTGGAATCAGAGCCATTTCTGATTTGTGAATCGCTTAGAGAAAATTTGATTGATCGCCGAGAAGTAGTTTACGAATTTCTTTTGCTATCGATGGTGAAACGGCGAGAATGGAAGGGGCATTTATAGGAAGCAGAAGAGAGTCGCTGGTTATTTCTGGACTATTCGGTACATGAAGATCGAAGAGAATGGAAGAGTCTGGATTTGGGCTTTTTCTGGCAAATTCTTGAAGTTCCGTTACTGGTTTCAAATGGGTCAAATCTTACTTCAAAGATTGGGCCACCTCACCCTCCTGCTGTGCTGTGCTTATCTTATGGAAAAAACAAATCTTCATGTAATTATAAGCTATGGTTAAAAAATACAACATACATGTTTATAGAATATTATAGACCTAATGCATAAATATGCTCTCCAACTATTGCCGATTCTCCGGTGGCCTCCTAAAATTTATAGGGTTTGCTCGTGACTTTGTATTAACAAATCCTTCCGAAATTATCTTTGAAGAAAATTATTGTATAATCAGCATAATTTTAAAGGAAAAATTAGATGTGAATATATGGTCAGTTTAGTTTAAACTGAATCAAATTGAATACTTTATAGATTAATTATTTAGTTGGATTCGAATTTAACTATCTTTAATAAATTTAAATATATCTTTTGAGATTAACAAAATCAAACCAAACCGAAAAGTATTTTGATTACTAAAAAATAAAATCAAACAAATTATGTACAAGATTAAATCAAACTAAATCGAATTAGTTTAGTTTAATAAATTTCTTTAATTTTTTCAAGACTTGCTCAATCATTCTATATCAAGATAAGACTTGTCTATACTCAATATACAAGTGATCTCATAATCAAGCCAATAAAAAAATAAAAAATTTTAAAATAATATTATATTCGTTTAAACCAAAATACTATTTGTGATTGATTTAATATATAAATAAATTTATACAATAGGTGTAGATAAGGCTTTCTCTCTATATAACAACGTCATTCTAAGATTGTCGAGACGCAGCTCATAGTAGTCAAATCAAATGGCAAGTGCTTTGATGTAGGAGACTATGGATCATTTTGAAGTCCAATCAAATTATGTTAGACAAACAAAAACATGTTATAAGCAAAGGACAAAAGAGATAGAGATAAATATAATTTTGGAAACTATATTTATAAGACTTGGTAGTGGTACTAATATATGACTCTAACGATTGGAGAAATAGATAAAATAAAATAATCTAGCAGCCACCAACATGCCATGTTGAACTGGCGTAAGTAGCAGAGTTACCATGTGGGCACTGGACGGTGGGAGCAACTGCCCCGTTGACTCCTTTCATGTTTTATCAATGCTTGGGGTCCAACAGTAATTAATCGGTAAAAGCATGAAGTTAACTTAATTGAGGAGTTCGACCGTGTTCAATAACAGAGTTAAAAAAATGTAAAATTTAAAAATACTAAATAATTTTTAATATATAATAAAATGATGAAATGTAAAATTTATTAAATCTCATAACAGCATAAGAAATATATACTCCAATGGTAAATTTAAAATTTAAAATGTAATAATAAAAATAAATAAATAAATAGATAAGAAGAGAATGTACAAAAAGAGCACACATATCAATGATTTATCTTTCAAAGTAACAAATCAACCAAGGATCAATGTTGCTTAGGGAAAGGACCTAGAATTCCGTGAGAAATGAGCTGGAAACACAGAGGGATAAAGAGCACGTGCATAGGAAGACGTGTGTGATGTATTGAGATGTGTGAGATCGATTTGAATCGAACTGTAGTTAATATCGTTTCGGTTCATCGGTTTTTATCCGGCTTTTGCTATTTCTTACTAATTTTCATCTGGTTTTTTTTTTTTTTAATTCTCCATTTTAGGTATTCAATCCGGACCGGAATGTAGTTTTGTTTTCGGATCAATCAATTCGGTCTGATTCTAATAATCCTAGGTATTATAATTACAAAATTAATTTGGACAAAACTATTTTACCTTCACTATATGTTTTAAATAGACCAACTCTTTAGTTGTCATTTATTTAACTTACTATAACTAACTTTACAGGAATTGTTCCCTAAAAATAATTGAATACAGGAAGAGTGATTTCTGTGTAGTGCTTTGTTTTGTCCCTTCCTCATGTATTAAAAAAAATTTTAGACTTTTGATGATATAAAAAATTAATATATCAAATTTATTTATCTTATTTATTTATTGTGAGATATAATTAATTAAACTCACATGGGCAAAGATGAAATTTTAATATAAATGTGAAAGTTTTTAATAACAAAAATCATGTGAGCAAAGTGGTCAAAACATCAAAGAACTTCCCTAAGTCTTAGGCTTGAGTGCCCACGATTTGGGGTTTAGACCCTATTACCAGAGATTGCCTAATACGGCTCGGATTTAATCACAGTTAATGCTTTTCGTCTCTACCTGCAGATATGTTTAGTGGGACTCGGTCACGGTTAAATAATGAATTACTGAATGCAACCATTTTATTCAGACTTTTACATTCCCTTTATTCATCAAAGTACATTAAATGGGCAATTGTGATTGAACTGAATCAAATATACACTGCTAATCAATTAAGCTGACATAAACTCTACTAACTTGTTCAAAGAATTGTAAGAGGAACCACCTTTCTTGAAACAACCTTCAACTTTTTCCTTTAATTCTTCAGCTTTCTTTCTCATTTCTTCTCCTTCTTCATCCATCATTAGCCTTCTTACTGCACTTTCTATTTCCTTTCTCTCTATCTTGTTCTCTAATATCAAACCTATTCTCCAAACATGACTCACATACCTTGCAGTTACCATTTGATCTCCAAAACATGGCCTGCAAATCATTGGAACACCTTCAGATATACTTTCCAATGCGGAATTCCACCCACAATGGCTCCAAAACCCTCCTACTGCTGGATGTGCCAACACTTCCCTCTGTGGTGCCCATTTTACGATGCAACCTTTTTCTCCAACAGTTTCCAGGAAACCCTTAGGCAAGAACTCAATCCATTCTGAACCCGACACTGAACCAGGCCTGATCACCCACAAGAAACGCTGCTTACTGTTTGCGAGACCCCATGCCATTTCAGCTAACTCTGTTTCATCTGTTGAAGCTACACTTCCTAAGCTTATGTAAAGAACTGAGTTAGGATCTTGCTTGTCAAGCCATGTAATGCAACTGGTGTCCTCTTTCAATAGACTACAAGAAAAGGCTGGTGCAAATTTATGCATAGGGCCTATTGTGAAGATTGGAATTGGGAATTGCGTTTTTTGTAGTTTCGTCAGGAGTGATTCTTCAAGGCAATCTATTGTATTCCAAATCACAGCACACGATGTTTTTATATCACATGCATTAGCCATCAGTTGGTAGAAATTTTCTCGTGGTCCTAGCTTGAAAATTGGTAGATCCTTGTATCTTAAGGTACTAATTTCAGGAATTGGGTCGTTTGACACAGCATCTGCATGTCAATTCAGGTTCTGTTAGAATTAGAGAATAATAAGAAACATTACCAGAGTTTAGATAATCAAGAATGCTTTGTTACCTGGAAAGGGAACGTAACCTTCTGAACTGAGTTGAAGAATGGCAAGTCGAGAAATGACGGTGGCTGCACTGCTAGTACGCAAAACGATGCTTGGAATGTTCAGGTGATAAGCAACAGATTCAGAAAAGTACATGAGATCATCATAAATGATGCAAGAAATCTCATCATCTGAATTCTGTTGCATTATCATCTGAAGCAAGCATTCCTGGAAGGGTATTTTGCACTTCTCATTAAGAACTAATATAATATCTACTAAGTTCAAAGAGGCAATTTCATAACTGGATAAACCTTCCTGTATAGGTCGGAAATCGAATTCTGGGTGGCTAGAGGTTTTAGGAGAGTTGAATTTGGTGTGAACAATGGAGATAGAGAAACCCTTGGAATGAAGAATGGTTGCTAGCTGAAGCATAGGACTGATATGGCCTTGGAATGGACATGGCACTAACACTACTCGGCCACATCTCTGTCCTTGCTTAGCCTTAGCCATTTCTGCTCTCTCTGTCTCCCACTGTGAGATGTCTGGATGGGGAAGATTAAGAGTATATATACTAGAGCATATACCTCTTGTGCGTATAAAATATTGGAGAAAGTTCAAAATAAAACAGAGTGCGCACTATTGGGTTTTAACCAAAAAATTAAATCAAACTGCTCTAGTTATGAAATTTAGTTCAATTTATTAGAAAAATTAGTTTGGTTCAGTTTATGAATTTCAAATTTTCAATTATTTCAGTTCGGTTCAAGTTTTATATATATATAAAAAATTTAATAGTAGACACATTTATTAAGTTAATGACTATTATTGTTATTACTATTATTATTATTTTGATACGCCTCGTTTATTATTAATTTCAAATTTTACTCTTTTTTCGTATAACCAGAAATGTAATTCCCTAAAATTTGATTATATGCAAAACATTTAATGCATTTTTTAGTGACAATAATGATCCTTAAAACGTGCCAACTTTCAATTTTATAATCTACATTTGACTTTATACAGTACGCAACAAATTATGTATGCATTTATTGTATGCTGAGCTAGCATTTGCTAAATCAAGTAGGATTCAAGTTAATTTTTTTTTTTTTTTAAATCACCAGTATTCGAATCCATTACTAACAACCGTCTAATCCAGTTCAGAATTTAGTCATAGTTAATGTTCTTCGCCCTTCTTTAGAAGGGTATTAAGTGGGGATCGAACTCGAAAGCTCTTCCTACATATCCGGTCTATATTACCAACTGAGCCATAACTCGTAAGTCAAGTTAAAGTTATTTTAGTTTTGTTAAATAATCCATTTTTTCTAGCTTTTATGCCAAATGCATTAATTACTAGAATTAAATATTTATTCATTTATTTATTTTGCTAATGGCTTCATAATTAGCACTCAATCAACTGATTTTCATAAATGATTTTTTATTTCAAAATATAAATCGTTTAATATTTTTAAATGTAAATCTTTTCATAAATTATATTTTTGTTCAAAATATTTTTTTGATTTTACTTCGTCGTTCTCTTTCTCCTTAGTCCTTATGTGACTATGACCTCCAACTCAATCAGCTCCACTATCACCATCATCGCAATCACCACCATTGCGGCCACCGTCACCATTACTTTATTCTTTCACCTCACAACCACCAACTCCCACACTACTAGAATTAATACACATCTAAAAATGTGATAACATCAAATAGATTGAAAGAAACCCATATCAGATTTGAAAAATTTTATGCAAAATAGAAATTAGATTGATGACATAAAAAATAAAAATAAACGCATATCTGAATTTGGCATGAAGACACACAAGCCCAACCAAAAGTATTCAAAAGTATGCAAAATACGGATCAAATAAACCAATATACGTACTTGCACAACAAATATTCTCATTATGAATTACGAAAACAAGCTTATAAGAACTAGTTTGTATCCGGTCTCAGCTTTCACCAGAGACGGCAACCGACTGTGTCTGAGGAGGAGGAGGAGATAAAAGAAGATTTTGACTGCATCATTGAGTGAAAGACAAGATGATGTGTGAATAAATGCGGAGCGGATACCCATAACTTTTGAGTTACTCATCATTTTAAAATTTTAGGTGCCCATTTTAAATTATACTTTTTTAATTATACTCGTCTCAAATCCGTAAATGGACAAGATATCTACCAATATTAAACTGTCCTCTAAATTTATTTAAAATAAGTCTTTTACTAATATGGTTAAGGTAATGGTGGATATTTATAACCAAACTCATTTAATATCTGGATAACGGATAGTGGGTATCCATAGTGGACAACAAACACATGTTACTCCTTTTTAAAAGAAAAAGGAAATTACATAGTTGAAAAATTAGCAAAATGACTATATAATTGAATATTCATGAAATACGAGGACTATTAAAATTAGTTTTTTAAAAAAGAAATCCTAATGAGTATATGCTTTGATATTGGGACTAATAGCAACTCACTATAGATAAAACTGAAATTTTAAAGATATTTAACAAAAAAAAAAAATTAATGGAAATTGAGTGATATTCTTCTGGAATAAAACACAAACTATCATAGAGAGATTAAATAGTAATTTAATCAATATATTGTTAATATATTTAAAATTTTTTCGAAAGGATATTGATTCTCGGGACCATCCAATCGGTAGTTTTTATTTTTTCTAAAACTTTTAGATCCCTCACGTCTACCGTGAAATTAATTTTTGTATAAATTGGCTAATCCATCCATTTAGGGGAGCAAACGGCTCTCTCCCGAGTGTTTAATAGGACTCCAAGACTCGAATTCAAAATCTCTAATTAAAGGAGAAGGAATATCTGTCATTTTATCTCACCCATCGGGATTAACTAGTTGTATTTTTGTTATGCCTTTGGTGTTGATTTGCTTCAAAAGTTTCTTATGTTGTTCTCCATTAACTTAATGATTTATGTGAAGCAGTTTATCTTAAGAGATGTACTTGCTAGTGTTTTTTCCTCTTTCTTATTCATAAAAGAAAAAGGTAAATCAAAGTATTTAGTCTTTACACATGCCATCTAATAAAGAAATTAAAAAGACTTTTAGAAGGATAGCAAATTTTGTAATTATTAATAAATTAATAGATTATTCTATTAACAAGAAATTTACAATTAACTTTAAAAAAAAAAGAAAAAGAAAAAGAAAAAGAAAACCAAGATAAAAAATTAATTTAAATTCCTTCAATCAAGAAAGAAAATGAAAGGAAATAAGAGAATAAAATATCCCATTTGTGTTTCTAAGTTTTTTATTTGTCATTTGGAAATTTTAATTGGAATGTTCCATTTAGTTGCATTATTTTAACATTTTTTGTGTATTATAATGTTTAGTATGTAACATGTGGAGAAGGGTAAGCCAACAAGGCAACTATCAATTGACCAGTGAATAGTCAGACATAATACTAATAATGTACTTTCCCTACCACTATTATTGCTACTTGTTTCTTGTGACTACAACATTAGAATTTCCATATTTTGTGGTTTTATGTCTTTAAGAAGATCAAAAAAAAAAAAAAAAAAAAAAAAAAATCCAATATTATTGTGGTTTTATGTCTTTTAAGAGATCAAAAAAAAAAAAAAAAAAAAAAAAAATCTAGCGTGCACTTATTTTGAGTGGCCCACAACCAAATTACTTCTTAGATGTGGTATTATCCTCAAATTTTTCTGTATTGGAATTGATAAAAAAAAAAAAAAAAAAAAAAAAAAAATCTAGCTGCACTTATTTTGAGGGCCCACAACCAAATTACTTCTATTGTGTATTATCCTCAAATTTTCTGTATTGGAAATTGAATAAATTTAAATAATATTTTCCTGTATGTTCGTTTTATTGGTCTTTTCATTTATCTGAGGATTAGAAGGTTTTAAGTTTGAATTCTCCTCAATTAGAATAGTTTTCACCAATTTTATGATTAATAGAGAGGATTACTCTTATTGTATAGTCCGAAACGTTATTTCAGTCATTGGAACTTCCTATGGATAAATAAATAAATAAAACAGACTAATCAAATAGCAAAATAACATTCCCTATCTCAATTTGGTAAGTTTAAATCTGGCCATTCAATATTACATTCTGTTTTAGTCCTATCAATTTTTATAATGACATTATATAAGAAATTTTTATGAATATATGTATGAATTCACAAATTTGTAAATTGAGATTTATTTAGAAAGGCAAGTCATAATTTTTTGCTTAGATATAAAGTAAACTAAAATATTATTTTCAATTTAAATTTTTAATACGTATATTATCTAAATTAATTTTAAATTTTCAACATTTTCAGTTTTATCTAAATGATATTATTTTTTCAAATTGATTATATTAATTTGCACATGTATTGAAACTAAAATTTATTCTCAAACAAATTTTAAAAGCGCAGCACCATGATTAGCGTGTGCATTTAAGAAATTCTTCTCAAAAGTTGACCTAAAAACTAAATCAAGCAAATCCATTTATCAGTTAAGTTATGGTTTAATAATTTCTCCAAGAACATTAAAATTAGAAATAAAAAAAATAGTAATAGCTTGCACGATTCTGAATATTCATACTTGAATTCGTAGAATTTAAGTAATGAAATTGAAATATTATATAGAATTTTCAGATTTCTTTATTAAATTGAGAAAAATAGATTAAATTACATTTTGTGGAATTAATAAATTTCATTTCAGTGTCATTTCACCATTTCGAAATTTCATATTTTTTTTTATTTATGATGTAATTTTATTCTGAAATCATTAATGAATGTGAATAATTATATAAAAAATCGATATTATTTTATATTTTACTGATCCAAATATCTTAAATATTTTTTTAGAATAAAAGTGAAAATTTCATTTAAAAAAATCGAATACATGTGTAATATACAAATCAATACATTTCTATACTTTTGTGTAATTTTACTATTAAGCACTTATAAGATTATAAATAAATAAATAATTTTTTAAATAGAACATTATAAATAAATAAATAGGTGATTAGCTAATTAATACTCCAAGTTACATAAGAGCTGGACGAAAGCAAGCTAAGGCATCGCCAGCTATCAAGGGACTAAACCTTCTAGAACCTTTAATATCTAAATCTATTTATTTATTATAATAAAAATAAAAAGTATCCATTTGCTTTCGACGTGCCAAGAAGTCTGTTCATTGCACAACCTCTTCAGTGACAGCTTGACGCAATTAATTAGACATGTTTGTGTATATATATATATATGTTCCCAAAAGTTAATGTTTCTCTTTAGATAATTCTCATTAAATTAATTAGAAATTTTATATTAATTAAGAATTCTATTAGATATACCAATTTATTATGATAAATGAGTAACAACGTTGATTATTCTCATGCTTGATTTAGGTTCGATTCTTCACGACAGTATTCCGTTATACATGATATCTAAATATTGACTCTGCTGCCTAGAAATCACGATCCACTTTTTGGACTGTCTTAGGCCAGGCTCTACTATCGTGGGTTAAGTACCACAACACTATAATCCTGCTCGAAGGAGAAACATTGCTTATTCAAACCCATCAAGAAGGG